AATGAGCTAAAACATGCAAAATCCCCAGTATAGTGATAAGGAGAGCTTGGAAAGCAACATAATCCCCTTGCACTGCTTGTTTCAGTTATCTTTAACTTTAATTTAACATTCTCCTTACTTTCTTTAATCTTACTTCCCATCCTGCTTTTCTCTTTTTCTGTCTCCTTTTGCAAACTCGATTCCTCTCATGCCTGTTCCCTCTGTTTCCCTATCAGCTCTAACTGAAGCTCTGATGGCTCCGGCCCAGTACCCACACTCCTCCGGGACTCGTAATCTCCATGACAACCTGTCAGACCTGCGGGCTCAGGTGGCGGCCAATCAGAGAGGCAGCCAGCTGGTGGGGGAGTTGATTGACGGCTACGGGTTAGCTGTGGTCCAGGCCTACATGGGATACATTCAGGTAACTGTGAATTGGTAGAGGAACAACAAAATACTGTTATTGTGAAAAGTAGTGACAGTAAGTACTGATGGTGCTGGTGTACTACAACAGCCTTTGTGTTAATGTTTCAGAGTAATGCAGAGCTGGCAGTGAGGGACATGCTGAGAGACTTTGCATGTCGTCGACGTCAACAGACTGGCTCCTTGGAGGTGGAGTCGGAAGATTTCATGGACGATGGGACGGCAATCAGACTGCGGGTTCAGATTAATGAGGAAGAGGTGAGCGGGGAGGATCTCCTCATGATAATCCAAACATTTTGTCTTGCACAAGGAACTAATCAATGTACATAAAAACCTCCATCACCACAGGGCAGTGCGGTGTTTGACTTCACAGGGACGGGAACAGAGGTTTGGGGGAACTGCAATGCTCCACGCGCCATCACCCTCTCTGCCCTCATCTACTGCCTGCGCTGCATGGTGGGACAGGACATTCCCCTTAATCAGGTAAGGACGTTTATTCAGGGACCCCTCTGTGGGTTTTAAGGAACGTTTTAAGGTTTGATTACACATTTGTTTAGTAATTCTTCCTGTACTTAATTTCATATAGTTTGTGTTATTCATGCGTTTCCTTTTTTCATATCCAGGGATGCCTTGCACCAATCACAATCATCATACCCCCTGGCTCAATCCTTCAGCCTTCCGAGAATGCAGCTGTGGTGGGAGGAAATGTACTCACATCCCAGAGAGTGGTCGATGTCATATTTAGGGCATTTGAGGTGTGCGCAGCTTCACAGGTGAGAAAAACAAACTTATTCATATCATCTTTGCTTAAGTGTTATGTTATTCCGTATTTGTGTTATTTGCTTATTTATTGTCATTCCTCTTTTCATCAGGGCTGCATGAACAACATTTCATTTGGCAGTAAGAATATAGGTTACTATGAGACAGTTGCTGGGGGAGCAGGGGCGGGACCAGGCTGGAATGGGCGGAGTGGAGTTCACAGTCACATGACCAACACCCGGATCACTGATCCCGAGATTCTGGAGAAGAGGTCGGACATGCGTTTTAGTTAAAGAAAATTCTATTTCTTGCGTCCAGTAATAATGTTTTTGACATTATTGATCTGTATGTTGCTGCTGTCCATCTGGTGTTCAGGTATCCCGTCATTTTGGAGCACTTCTCTCTGCGACCCGGCTCAGGAGGTGCAGGACAATACTGCGGTGGAGACGGTGTGGTGCGGAAACTTCTGTTCAGGAACAAGGTGGTTCTGTCTGTACTGACCGAGAGGCGATCCACCCGTCCCTATGGCCTCCTGGGTAAACTCTGACCCTCAGCAGCCATTTTCATGTTTTTGGGGTTTTGAAATAATGGCTGTTTGCTCGTGTTTTCTAACTTCTCTCTGCTGGTTAGGGGGTGAGGACGGAGCAGCAGGGCTGAACCTGCTTCACAGAGCAGACGGTCGAGTCCTCAACCTTGGTGCCAAAACCAGTATCAGCCTTCAGCCCGGGGTAAGACTGCATAATGTGCATCTGTGACCCTGTCATGGCACTACACTTTCCAAATAACGATGGTAATAATAAACTGAATTGTTAGATTTTCCATGAATAAAGATTGTATTCTGACAGCACAATATAATTCCAAGATACATGCTATTTACATCACAATTATTCTAATATAACTGAGCAAACTTCTTAAGATGACTTCTGGTATATTCAGATATGAAACCATAATGTGATGAGTTACCTCTGCAGTCATTAAAAAGTGTCCCATCTCTTGTTGAAAAGAGTCGCATAAGAAAACTTGCCTGGTGCTAGTTTTGGAAATGTTTCTTACAGCTTTATATTTTAAATATGGTCAAGCAGTCTGAAAGTAATCAGAATACACACTGGTTAACCCTTCCTGTTTTCTTGAGGTAACCGTTTGTATAAACTGAATAGTCAGCTGAATTCTCTGCGTGTCTCCCCCTACAGGACATGTTCTGCCTCTACACCCCTGGAGGAGGGGGGTACGGAGGAAAGGAGGACACAAACGGACGACCCCAGACCAAGCGCAGGCGCCTGAATGAGTCTTTCCCAGAAAGAGGCAGCGTCTTTGAATACCGAATGGCACAAGAGGGTGTGTGAAAAGAAATAAGGAGAGCCCACAGACAAGCCAGGAGAGAAATAAAGAAGCTGCAGGCTAGTAACATTTCAAGAGCATCTACTCGTACCAACAACTATAGTCAACACCACTCGAACAGACATTTTTACAATGATACTGTTTTGCAGAGTCTGTGCGCTAACATATATTCAAATGACTGTTAGCTCAGGCATCAATCAGATTTGTATGATGGACAAATAAGATGTGTTGCTCAGTTAAATGTAACATTCCACCTGTTAGTTTGAATGTCTTTCTTATTGCTAGGAAAATCTGAGTAGCCTTCAGCGAGTTTTATAGTCACATTCTGATAATACATGTACTGTTTACCCAGTAAACATTTCATTTTATGGAGACAACAAAATTGCCATGGAAGGTAAGACAGTGTATTTTTTCCTACTAAAATGCTCTTAAATTACTAAAATCCAGTCTAACGATGCAAGAGCGAAGCAGCTGCTAATCTGTTTTAACTGGAACAACCACTTATCTAACACCACAAAGTCACAATGTGGTTACTGTTCTTCTATTTTAACAGGACAGACGAATAAACCCCATTTGTACTCTTTAGATTGTCGTCTTTTTATTTCTTTCAAATAAAATAGTGTCACTTATATGTTTTTCGTGTCGGAGGAGATGCGTTTGGAGAGTATGTATAAACTCTGAAGTGCTTGCAAAGATTGATCAAATCATATTGTGAAATGCCCAATGTAGCAGTGGTGGTGTCGTTCCTGTGGCAAAGAAATTTCTTCATTATGTAAGCAGTTGGAAAATCAAGCAGGGGAGCTGTTCAAATTATTTAAATGATACTACTGCCTCCAAGGGTTATTGGTCGGGGCCTTGGAGCAGTTAAATGCACTCTAACGACCACCAAGGCCCAGTGTGACTGCCAGTCATACATGTAAATTCATGAGAGGGAGTGTTTAGATGCAACCAAGAGTGTTTGTGTGTTTGGGGGAGGGGGACATGTCCCTGTTTAAGTGGTGTCCCCCTCCTCCCATCTTTTGGTCAGGAATGATCAGGGAGGAGAGCAGGAAGGATGGTGAGGGAGTGCAGGCATGCGAAGGCAGCTGATAAAGAGATAGTGGCCCCAGCAGTGGAAGCAGCAGGAGGCCGATGGCTGCTGGACTGTTGATGTAAATCAACTGGCATTGTGTGCATGTTTGTGTGCTGGAAACTCGGATGCCATGGACCGTGGATCAAAGATAGTTTTCCTTCTTTATAGATCACAATTCCTGTGGTAAAACAATCTGTCATAGTCAAGAGGATTTGAGACTCACCCCCTGCTGCCTGGGACAATCTCCATCTTCATCCACTGGCTGACAGTCAGCTTGAGGGAAAACAAGCATGAATCAAGAGAAAGTCCTCATTCATGGGATTAAATATCCACAGTTAATTCAATATATCTGTGAAACACAGAATGGCAACACAGCATCCACAAAATGTATTGTTGGTATCATTCGAATAGCATGTCATTAGTAAGGTTCTACTTCACCCATCGAGTCAGAGCATCCGGTGGCTTTTGAAGGACATGAAAACAGGGAAATTGGGGTGCAGCTATAAATATATACAAGTAAATACAAATCTTCTGCAAGAAAGAGAAAATATACAATTGAAACATTTAGAATTTCTGTGTAAGACTGAACTTATTTTTTTAAACATGCAATTATACCTCAAATCAATGTGTCTTGTGACTTAATACTTCTATTTCACTACATTTCAGAGGGAAAGCCAATAGCGTTAGCTAAATAAATGTAATGTAAATAATAAACCTTACACCACTACAGGTGACAGATGGAGTCACTAGTTAATTGACAAAAGTATTTCGATTTTAAAGTCTCCATTATTTCCTTTCACTTTTGATACTTAATATACATTTAACTCAAAATACCTACTTTTTGAGAAGTACTTTCAATGGATTATTGGTAAATTGTAGTATTGCTTCACTTTTTAGGCACCAAAATGACAATGGAGCCAAGATAAGGATTGTTGCTATTCAGGTTTTTTTCTAATTATATTATATATTTCTTGTATTGAAACTATTGCATTTACCAAAGGGAAAGACGCCACCCTGATTGTAAAGAACTATATGGGTTTTAGGTCAGTCTCGATGTCACAGCATCGGTTCTCATGTAAAAATGGTCAAATTCTAAACTGCCACCAATAGTACAACAAAGAGGGACGATGCTTTTACACTGAACCCAGAAATCTTGGACTTTTCCCAATCAATAGATTTATAACACTAAGACCGCTGTTAGTCCAGTTGTAGTTGTGCAGAACTTCTACTGTCCAGATTTAAAGACACAGAAGGCTGAGTAAATAAACAAACCAGGACTTAACAGCCATCTGAACAAACATACTAAAACAGTAACATAGAAATGATAAATTTATAAAGTGGAATCCAACATTTACAAATGCACACTATAAAAAGAGAATAAAGTTCTGCAGTTTTAGTTGACTCGTTGCTATATACAATACTGAGCAGCTCATTTAAAATAAACATTTTATTTCATACCCTGTTCAACTCCATAAGCTTCTTTTGATACTTAAACGTCTGAGCTGTTTTTGTACAAGCCTTCAACAAGACAACAGGAAAATGGCAAAAAAAACTGAAAACTTTCATATGACGAGGTAAAGGCAGACATTTATAAGCAATTCCCTTTGGAAGACGATAATGACATCAAATAGTGCAAACAACCGGCAGTGCAAAGTCCACAAGAAACTTGTCTCGGCCCATTTTAAACTTGAGGTAGATACTGGTGGTAGTATAGTGGTTGATTGTCTCCAGTGTCCTGACAACATGAAGCATTTTGGATTGGTTTAGTAATGTAAAAAAAAACAGTCAAACACAGAGGAAAATACACTTATAGGGCTAAGATGCAGTATCACTACTTCTCAGGTTAATCTACTGTTGTAGCTGCATAGGACCAATGCAGACAGTCTGGACTTACTGAAATTTAAGACAGGAACAACATTATGGTAAACGGCTGGTCCTGTATATTTAACCATCTGAACAAACAAACTAAAACTCACAAATAGCACAAGTGTTTGTACACATTGATCTGTGCACACAGACACACCCTGACAAAGTGGGGAACAAATGTCAATACATTAATGCTAGTTATTCACCTACCAATTCTATATTCTGTTTAAATTGCGGGACACACCGTAAAGAAAGATATTGCATTTGATACTCTGTTGCTCAAATTTACCATCAACCATCCAGCTCAATGCTGTTAGTTTTTCACAAGATTGAATCAAACAATACATTCAGCCGTCACAGTAGGAAGACAAAAGCAAATTCATGCCAATATATAAAACAGTGCAAACACGAGTGACAGTGCAAAGACAAAGCAGTAGTGGACACTGCATTTCTCTGAAGGCCTGAGGTAGATGTTATATAGCCGTTTGTGGTACATGTTTTCCAATGAACCCTTTTTTTGCATAACAAACACTTCTTGAGCTGGAGGTAGTGAAACTCGATTTAGCAGAATCTGCAGCAGAAATTTGCTTCTTTTGTGGATCTTGATTGAACCTCCCGTCCTGCATCATAGTGGGATTTGAGTGACAGTATGGCTCTCAGTATGAGGAAACAAGTCAGTATTTCACAGTCAGTTAGTACTGAGGATACCTGTTTAGGGGAGGGCCATTCGGTAGTGTGTACTGACTGGGTGGTTGATGATGTGGCTGAGAGTTATGATTGTTTGGTACTAACACATCAAACACACTCTTATTCGGAGGCACAGATTGCAACATGTTGTCCAGGTCCATGATGAGGGGTGGGGCTTGGACAGAAACTCGTCCACTGGGAAGTATGGGCCAATAGGCATGCCCCAAGAAGTGACCAGGTGCTACAGGAGAGCTACCGTAGCCGTAAAGGGGAAGTCCACCATGCAGCGGCATTAGAGGACCTCCGTTAAACCGCATGCTGGGTGGGGCAACAGTATTGGGGGGTGCATACTTGGCGTAGGAGGTAGGGAGCTCCCATGGAGGTGCAACCGTCTCCCGTCGGGCTGACTTGTGCAGAGGCTGTCTATAGTCCTCATAACCGTCCGACCCATCAAGAGGAACACGCTTCCCAGACAGGGAAGTGCCTTTCCACTCCTCATCAGATGAGGAGGTGGAGGCTGGGCTGGCAGAGCTGGCTGAGGCACTACGGGCAGAGGAGGCGTAGCGAGGTCGAGGAGGTGGTGAAAACCGAGGGCGCTCCACCTTGCCCCAGCAATCCCTGGTAGACACATCTACATCCCCAGGGGCACTAGGGGGACGCAGACTGTGTAGTAGCGAGTCGATGGCGAAGGAGGAGTCCAGCTTGGGTCTGAACAAGTCCTCCTGTGGTGGGGAGGGGTTTTTTGAACACATGGGGGGGGGGGGGGGGACGGGGGCAAGTGGTGGCTCCGATTCTGGCTGGTGTTCCTGCAAGATATAAGGGGCCAGATCCTGGGCAAAGATTGTCTCATCCTGGCGCGAAACAGCTGTGTTTTGCCTTTTGAGGAGCTCCAGAGGAACACGGCTCAACTCCACTGCCCAGAAGTTGCCTTTGCCCTGAGGCTTCGCTGGGTCCTTCAGCACCTACAGGTTGAGGGAGGGTGGAGAGTTGGATGAGCACATAGTCTGGCAACCTAGACAGGCAGGGCTGCCAGTTTCACTGTTAACCATCACAATAACAGTGGATAAAATCTTAAGACTGGTTTGAAGGTGCAATCTAAAGCCCTCAGAGCGTATTTCTGCAAACAAAGCTCGGGATAGTGCAATGCAAATGTTAAGCCTGTATTTTGTGAACTCCCTGTCCATCAAGCCCACTGACGAGACTAAAGAGGGATCTAAACATGGAACTGTTTAACAGTTTTAACATACCTTCAGAAAGCAGTCATAAGAGGAGAGGTTGTGTCTCACAGAATCCCGCCAGCCCTTGTAGTTTCCTTTGAAGAATGGGAAGAGAGTACTGATCTCCTTGAGGATCTAGAAATAAAACAGAAATGTCAGTCTGGCTGTCTGGAGAAGATGCTCGTCCTCATTGTATTTCAGTTTTGGTATGCTGTGCAGTGAGGCAAATGCTATCTAAATACACACTGATGTGATGACTGATACGAGTTTAAAAGTTAGAGTAACCGAGTACAAACGTGCAGAAGTCAACGCCAGCCAAACATGCTGTACCTTTCACTTAAAAGTCATTAATGAATTAAAAATAAGACAAGAAGTTGATAGTTATTGTACAAATTAAAGTTGTATGGTCAGTACTTTTGTGGTATTTCAACTGAAACAGGATTTTACCATGCACTGTATATCACCATGTTATCACTTTCCTGATACAGATTAGTGTCTGGTTTCACTGCAGTCTAACCTTATCAAAGCAAACCAAGAATGGTAGGGGCTATAGTCACTCAAGTGTCACCAAGAGGCTGCTGTTTTGTGTCACTTTATGAACTGTAAATGATCTGTCAGTGTGATATTCATATATCAGATAGAAAAGTACCAGGAACCATCTGATTCTAAATACTGTCCTTGTAGAGATATACTACAGAGTATTTAATTGGAGATTTATTTCAATAAAATACTGCGGAAATAAAAATGAACACAATAAGCACCGTGCTTAAAACACAAACTCTGCCCAAATTGTCTATATCACTGGGCACTCAAACAGAGATATGTATGCGATTTAAATGTATTCTTACCTCGGATAATGTCAGTTTCTTCTCTGGGGACCTTTGGATGACCATAGCAATCATAGCGAGGTACGAGTACGGTGGTTTTGGATACCGCTGATAGTTTTTTTTCTTCCCACCGCTGGTGCTACTCTTCTCCCGTTCACTGTTCCACGAGTCCCGGGTAATAGTTTCCTGTGTGAAGTGGGCATCTTGAGGACTCTGGTATGATGAGCCCAGTGGTACGACTGTATCCATGAATGCCGTGGCACCGGTGAGATGTTCGTGGCCCGCTGTGGGTTTCTCCATGCGCGACAGCTGCTGGGGAACCATCTGAGCCAGGTGTTGAGGCCAATGTTGGGCTGTGGGGCTCTGCGCTATACCGCTGGCAGGATAACTCTGCTGTACATTTCTGTGGAAGTCAAGTTGATTGCCGTGATGTTCTCCAGGGTGGGACGGAGCGGGTGGTGCCAAGAGGGTCTGCTCCGGCCAGTGCTTTGTCATGCTGATCAGCCGGAGGGTAAGATCTGCCCGCACGTTCGGACAGGAGCACGGAGAGGGGGAGGGAGGTCAAATAGTCTGTCCTTAACTTCTGGCAGACTGCTGGCTCCAGGCTGGCTCTATTTGAAGAGCAAACAATTAACAGTTTCATGTAAATCCCGCTGCGTAATCGGGGGGAGAATGACGCGTTATCTGAGAGCAGAATGACTGATCGCACCGGGGGGCTGGGGAGGGTCTGTGTACGAGGAGGGGCGAGAGAAAGACAGTAAACCTGTAAATAACCCTTATGATAATATCAACATACCACTTACAACGCAGAGACTTCGAGTTTGCTTTGGAATCAGTCCTTAGAAGATTTACGCACGAGGGCCTAAAGTATTAAGTGCAAGAAAGAGCATTTCGATTGAAGCTTACATGCAATCAACAATTTTTGTTGAGCAATATACAAAAAGAATGGCTAATATACAAACGTCGAAACATTAATGACATAATTTAACATCCATTCATTTCAACAGGCTGCATCAAATTAATGTCAATATTTGAGTCAGTTGAAGACCTTTTAAATTGCGAGGAACACATTAAAAGTTGTCATGTTGCATTGCAGGCTGTAATAGATACAAGTTAGCCTTAATCCAGAGAGTCATGCACATGTAAACTCCACAAAAAGTATTTTCTGTTTTGAAGAAAATGTACAAATTGTAATTGGTCAGATGACGCAGAATAAATTATTTGGAGACATGATGGTGCTCTGATAGCGCGCAACATTCGAGGAGTGTTTTGCGCTAAGTAGGGTCTCCCTGTGACTATGCAAGATGTCATTCAGTGTTGAAAGACTAAGTTTCGGGAATGCATGTCTTTTGTTCATGTTAACGTAGTGCTAATGTGCGAAAGCTTTCTTCCCAGCAAGACAGTGAAAACAAGTTGGATTAGGAGGAACCCCGTTGGCAAACTGGAGACGGTTCCTGCCCAAAAGAGCTGCTTAGCATGTGAGGAAATACGGGGGCCATTCAACACCATTTGTGGGTTTTCTGGCGCTTACAAGCTGCTAAGTGTCGTTGTTGGGTAGGACATTCACACCTTAAACAGGAGCAATCGTGTTTCCCTGAATTGTTGCATCAAGATGTCTCTGAAACATAAACTGCTGCACTCAATCCAAGAATCAACAAATACAGTATACCTTTCTATATCGTGTTACGCATCAGTAACTCCGACTTTGAGCTGTAGGTTCACTTTTTCGGTGTCAATGATTGATATATTACATCCGACAAGATGATGCAAGGCGACTCTTGAATCAGATGAACGTGCCACCCAGATTTGTCACCAGAAAGGTGGCGCGGCCAGCCAAAATGTAATCACCTTCAATTTAAATGACACCATAGCACCTGACCACTTCATAACTTAACTTTAACTTTCCAATTCACGGGGCAAATGGAGTAGATCCCTCTATATGGGGAGACTACAGAAATAAAGACTTTTTGATTTAAGTTCTCTTGCACGGCAGCATTGTTTTCATAAATAATTGCCCTGTATGTAAAACTTACCATGTGGATTTTGCAGCTTTTGTAATTTTTGCAGTAAAACACAATGTTTGAACCGGTTATTCAGGTCAGATGGCTTCCCTGCCATGGTGAGCAACAAACCTCTTTCACCTGGTGCAAATCAGTGATTTTCCTCTCTGGTTGCCACACACTCTGTTGCATAGCCAGAAGGTTTGTCCCCCTCTAGTGGTTTCACCAAAATTTAGTGTGAAGCTTGAATTACATAACAAATCCATCAGGTAGCCTGCTCTGTTCAGAAAGTGGATTTGATGGAGAACTTTCTTTTTTAATTGAACTGGACAGTTAAACATGTACGGGCAAACCTCACACACAATGTCTGGACCCAGTTTAAATGCCTGATTTAAATACAAACTGTCGAGCTGTCTCTTCCTGTCTAGAGTGCCAGTTAATAGGTTGCGCCTGGATTAGTGAGCCACGCATGAGAAGAATGGGAAACCATATGAATAGGATAGCATCCAAGACAAGGCTTGTTCACATAGGCTGATTGTGTCTGGACAAATCCCTCCTAAGCTGCCGTGGGATGCGTCCTGAAACTGAGATGAAGAGGAGGAATGAAGTTTAGCTATTTGTGAAAGAGACCGAGAAAGCGAGAGGAAGTCTTCATTGTCACAGCTTCATTACTTCGAGTCTTTTTTCCCTCCGTTTTACTATTATTTTTGTTTTATTCTATTGTTTATTTAACAGGGACATTGCACAACACATTTATTGCACCAGATATGGCTAAAGGCTTCTGTAGTCTCTGGACAGAGGCCTCCAGTAATGTGCAGGTCGACAAAGTATCACAATATAGTCCAAAAGACTTAAAAAGTAAGTAAGAGTGTAACCAAGAGGGCAAATACACCCTGACAGTTTATTGTGAAAAGGCTGAAGAGCATTCATGTTTGTCAAACCAGAGATACAGTTGACAATGCCAGCTGACAATAACTCTGTGACAAACACATGCTCATGCAGGCAAACGCACCTTTTACGTTCCTCTTACTAAACAAAGCCCAGATACTTTTGCACAATGGCACGTCACACCTAATTGTTTGTTCTGCAGCAAAAGTGCTATGTTGTTGGATATAGTAGCAATGAGCTTCATCTGGGATGAGGAAAGGGAAAAGGGATCCACAGTCTCACCCGTGATGCTGTACCAGTGACGGCTCACGTCAAACATTCAGACAGAAGTCTGTTGTTTTTTTTTATCTATAACTCAGCTTCAGTATGCACATTGATTGTATTCATCAGTATTGACATTTGCCCGAGTCAAACCATTGCTCCCTCCCCTCAAAAGTTGAGCAACTCCACATCTTATTTTTCTCTCATCTTGACTATACTGCTTATCATAATTTACTTCCTTAGCGATACAGACATTTACTTTTATGGTTTGGTTGCATTATACATATGTGATCCTTTAAAATCCTGCACCAGTCTGGCAACTAAATTGTGCATCACAAAGCAACATACAGCCTGCAGACCTGCACCACAGCTTGCAGACTTTGTCGCCCCCTGGTGGAGGAAGTGCTGCGGGAGGAGAGAGAGAGAGAGAGAGAGAGAGAGAGAGAAAGAGAGAAAGAGGGAGAGAGCGCAGGTCAGGTTGTTATGGTGAAGCATTTCTGCTCGAGGGCTGAGGGGACAGCAGCTGATTCAGTTACACAGCGCCAGACCTGCACGAGAGCGACACCTGACAGGTAAGGTGTCGACACGTTGTTTTCTATCGTTTTACGTCGATATTGTACTCTGCTCAGTTTAACTCGTGTCATTTACACTAAAGTGACGTGTCCCTTAATTCACTCAAACACCAGCGCGACTCTGGTTTTCGTATAAATTAGCGGACAGGTAAACTAACCCGAGGCTAAGGTAACGTTAGCATGACACAACATCTAGGATAACCGACTTTACCGCTGCTCAACAAGTTTTTTCTCCACAGTAATTGTCGCCCTTGTTTTGGATAGACTCGCCGATGTAAACTTTGTCTGCACCTGGACGCGATGAACGAAGCCAGGCAGCTTAAACGAACTGTTTACCTCACGGGTCAGACTATCCACCTGTTGAGCCTGTCTGCGGACTGCTAGGTAGGTTAATGTTTGCTAATCCGCTGCGCACAGTTAATCCTGCACTCTCACGGTATGAGAGACAACAGCAAACGCTGTCGTTGTTGCTGTTAAAGTTGTTTGTATGGCCATTAACAATGATTGTACCAACTGTGCAAAGTAAAAAAAGTTACAGGTAGTTTTCTCTTACGCTTACTAATTAATATCTCACGTGGTGCAAGTGTTATCAGGTTCACAGGCTGTCATCTTTATGACTTTTATAGCACGAGCTGCAGCTCATAGGTCAGTGTCCCTGTTGGTATATTCATTTATATTGTAAGGCGGGGGGGGGCAATTTGATTAAAAACGGTAGCATGCAGCTCACGTGAACAGTTTTTTCTAGCATTGCGATTGTACAGCCAATCACGTGAAGTCGGTGTATTCTTTAGAGGTGAGAAACGATTATTGTCAATGAAAACCACAGTTTATCTTTCGTCTTGGTGTTTGTTTCCCCTCTGCAGTATATACTGCAGTGCACCGACTATTTGACTTTTAACACGTCACTGGCTTATTGACCTCAATAATTGCACAGTCGTCTATTATTGTCGAGCCTGCCATTGCCGGTCTTGCTCACGTGAAAGTGTGGTCAAAGTTCTTGTTCAATAGTATTTTCTTCGGTATGTATGGTCAAATATTTGCAGGTTTCACAATATAGCTGAGATTAGCTTGTAGGCCCCTTGATACACAGCATGACGCGCGCGCGCACACACACACACACACACACACACACACAAAGATCCAGAAGGATCATAAAAGGTTAGACTGAACAAGCACTTTATTCGATTCCGTGGAAGGATGAAGACCTGAACCCAGTGAGTAACTTGAGTTAATCATTATAAAAATGTTTCTTTATCCCAATATAGTTATTTTCGAATGAACAGAGCAATTCTTTTTAAAGTTCAAACTGTATTTGCCAGAGGTTTGGCTCTCTGTTACATTCCTTCTCTTGTGCATAACTCCCCCTCATCTGTTCTTACCGAGGCATTTCTTTACCTTCGTGTGTGTGAATGCGAGAGATTCTGCAGGTGGATGTCGTATACATCATCTCACCCATTTAAAGATTCTCTACCCCTGTTATCCTCTCCACCCCTGTGCCTGCATGACAGGACCCTGCTTTCTGCTTAGGAGCTGTCGGAGGAGTTAAAAGTAGGCCGGTCCGTCTGTCTCCTCCCCATCCTTCCTCCTCGTACCCTTGCTCTAGCTCCCTCGCATTCTTTTCCTCCACATCCTCTTGCCCTCTCCTTCCATATCCTGTCCTACAGAAAAAGCAGTAACCCTTTGTTTGTCAATATTAGCTCCACATCGCATATACGTATATCTCCACCACAATTGCAAGCTGTCTCAGTTTCCCATGACCACTTGCTCTCTCTCTCTCTCTCTCTCTGTCTCTCTCTCTCTCTCTCTCTCTCTCTCTCTCTCTCTCTCTTCTCTGCTCTGCTCTGCTCTGCTCTGCTCTGGCTACTCTGTGGCATTACTGAGATTATATGCAGCAGCTCAAACCATGACACATGACGGGCCTTAAATGTGCCCACCTCTTCTCAAGTAGATCCCCCCCCCCCCCCCCCCC